GCGTAATTTTTACGAGGAACATGCCCCCCCACACGTTTTCAAAGATAGAAGACCTTTCAGAGGTGTATGAGGCAAATTAAAAGTGGGGAAGGCTAAAGATTTATTTGACTAGCCGGAGTTCAGGGCCCTGAAAGTGCTTGGTTTCTGGATCAAATCTTATGCAATCTCCTGCTTTTTTTATAGCAATTTTCATAAGGTTAATGCATTTTTAATTGGGCAGATTGAAAAGTGGGTATTCGACCCACCCACCCCGCTTCCTACGCCACTGCATTTATTTAATAGAATACCCTCATGCATATCTAAACAACAAAACCCACGCACTTTTGAAACCATAGTTACACCACTGCATTGCAGTGCCACATGTTTGGTTGCTTTTTCCACGTGTTTCAAAAAAAATATTCCCTCAGTTTTTACTCTCTCTTTATTGGTGTTTTTTTTCCAAAACTCGATCAATATTCACGAGTCTTTGATATTCGATAGGAAGCTCTGTTCGTACGTTTCGTTTTTTTTAGGATCGGCGTTGTTGTTGTTGTATTTCTCCAGATGGCGGCTTTGATGTATATATGTAATTAAATATTATGTGTTTTGTCCTAGAAATACGTTCCAAGAGCTTTTGGTCAGTCAGATAATGCAATTAAAGTTTCAAATAATTATTGTTTTAACATTGATGTAACCTATTTATTATAAACTTTCAATCGTTAACCACAACAAATTTCAAATAAAGAGCATTCGTTAGATTCTAAGCCTTTTTTTTTCAGACCATTCCAATTTGGCTATGTCACCGTAGTTAACTCGGCAGTTCTCCATTGTTTCTTAAACAGCGATATAGCTCTTGAGTAGCGTGAAATTCAACAACAACCAAGAAGGCAGTTTCCTAAACAGAATAAATTTTTAGTTATAATGTCGAATTTATGGTACAGTTGAAGGAGATGAATCCACAAGAACACAGTACAGCCGCAGGAAATTAGTTAATCATATTTACTTTACACTTTCAATTAGTTAGAAAATAAACTTAAAAGTTTAATTAAAAAGTACGACATTACAGAAATAGACCCTACATATTTTTAATTAGGGCACGTAATTAACAAAGACAACTTAAAATGAATGTTAATTCCTTGGGGGAACTTTAACTCATCGTTGCTTGTAACTTTCCAACGTAAGCTTGAAAGTGTGATCTCAATATTTTAACAGATGTTTGTTTCATTTTATTTTAATAATTAACTACTGTTCACATTATTATCATCATCTTTGCTCCTAAAAGTGTACAAATTTGCATTCCTCTAATTTATAATCTGCATTTTTATTGTTTTTGTTCGATAATAACAGATTTTGTAATTTTTTTACCGACTGGAAAAATAATGTAACCTTCTATACCCCTAAAAGTCATTAAAAACTTGTTGGCAAATACGAGCCGCTGTCTGTTATCGTATAGATTACAAATCATTATATAACCAACTTCAGCAGTTAACAAGAAAAATCCATAATTTTGCATCAAAGTTTCGATCCTCTGCTTTAGGTCTTGTGGCTATGAACTTTCGCTCGGCCCTACTGTCTAATGCAGTTTATCTATGCTTTTAATGAAGTTAAAATTAGCGGGTGTAAAATGTATTCATTGTTTTCTATGAATTTAAAACATTAGGTCTTATGAAACTCAATATTATAAAAAAGAACATTTAAACGTACCGTTTCTCGTTATCAAATATTTAGTACTACTGTAGCTTTATTTAGCTTGTTCATTCTCTACTGGTGACATTGGCATTAATGTCCTCTATTACTCCTCCCTGATCTCCCCCCCCCCCCACAGTGACTCAGCGGTTAGTCTCTGGGCTTATGACGCTAAAAATTTGGTTTCGATACAAATAGTCTAATGTGTAGCTTTATGCTTAAAAACAAAGATTCTGAAAGCTCTTCTTTATTTTGCTGCTTATGATGTAGTCACTGAAAAATAACTTTTTTAAAAGATTCTTTTCATCGAACCTAAACGAATATAAAAAATAACAGTCAAAGTAAGGCTGGAATAAGTTTATCATATTTAGACATTTTATAGATTTAGTGTTAAAAGTGCACAAACTGTATTATTCGTTTTAGTCTACAGCGTAATGTAAGAACTTTTCCTGGCACGTATCGTTTCCTATTTCTGAACTCCGAGAACTTTTTGCAAATAAAGATAGCATTCATTTACGTGGACTGGTGTTTCCGGATTGCGAATTCGAGGGTTCAAAGTTCATGTCCCGCTGCTGTAATAACGGTCTCCACATGCTATAGCCGTGGATGTGTTATAAGAATGATAACTAAAACACATTAATTTGTCAGATGATAGTAATCCAAGAGTTCAAGGTGGGTATCCTACCTTATCAATTCAAAATTAGAAACGGCTTAACACACACATACCTCTTGTGTGGATTTGCACGAGTTATAAATGAAGAAAGATCCGATAGAAAATGTATGCATTCTTAAATATTGCAAATAGAAACAATTACAACCCACACATTTTTAATCTATTTATAATTTTCAAATGTATAATATTTTCTTTATTTTATACTTATACATCCATAATTTCCTAAATATTCAGATAATCAGTACTTTGTTAATAACCTACGGAATATATATAATAGGGCGTCCTTACCGTCACAAAAGTAGAAATGGGCATTCCACATTTTTACAAACGATTGTCAACACTCAGTTCACAACGCAGACACATGATGCAATTATCATTTTAGTCGCAGTCTGAAACCGACTCAGTTGCGAAAGTTAACGTGGTGCCATCTATTGAGCGTTTGTGAAATTTATAATATTGTCTCCTACGGTAACCAACACCAGACATCGACAGAAATGTTTTTAATTAAGAAAAGTATATTCGGGAAATGATAGTTTACAAGAAAATGTAATAAGAAAGTAATCTTCAAGTTTTTTATTATTATTGTGGCCAAACCTTGTTTGCCTAAATCTCCTTTGAAATGTTCGTACTTTCACAATATTCGTTTTATTTGTGTAGGTTTACTGAAATTATTTTAGAATTGCGCACGGAAATATAAACTGCAAACATTATTTAAGCATTATTTATAATGAAAAATATGACGTACAACAGGCAAGGGACTATTATATTTTCCTACAGTTAACCCAAACCAAAATATATTTTAAGCAGAGTTGTTCGTCTATCACCTTGCTTGGTATCTTGACTTCGTAAATTGTTGTATTGAACTGACTGAAGTAATTTCGATGAAATTTGGTAGACAAATTCAGGTGGACTTCCCAAAGATCGAGGTGAATAAGCAATTGAACGAACTGAATTAAATTAAAGGAAGAACTTGCAGCAAGAAAATTAAGGTTTGGTTTATGGAAAAAAAGTAAAATGTTTTAAAAAGTTATATCAATTGATTCAGCTTCGACCGAAATACTTTCCATCAGTCTAATTCAGTTGTACTCACCTGATAATACTAGGTAAACCTAGTTTCTTAAAACTAAAACAAGTCTTGAAAAACATATTACTTGTTTTATCCGTAAGCATAATTTTAATTTTCGTGTTACAAGCTCTTCCTTTAATTTAATTCAGTTTTACTTTCAGAGTTTTAGGAAGTTTTATATCAACTGATTCAATTTAGGGCTAAATACCTTGCCATCTTACAATTACATCCACCTAACGATAGTTCTTTGAATTATAACAAGCATGTTTTTACGCTTTTAAATATTAAATGTAATTATGTATTTAATTTCTCAATTTTCGGTTTAGCGCGTTTAAATAATTAGCCGTGGCTCATAAAATAACTCGGTTTTTTGGTTTATTTCCAAGTACAAACTTTTACCTCATAGCTCCGTCATCTCTTGACCGATTTGATATCTAATTACAGTTTTGGACTCAGGAAGTCAAACACTTTCGATTGATGTATTTGACCACGCCCGAGGTCTCACAGATTAATGTACTCCAATACTGTCTAAAGGAATTTCAATTACAGCAGCTACTGGCTGTAACTTTATCAATTAATAATAATAATAAAAAAATGACACAAATATAAGTTACGTTTCTTAACACAAAATGTTTCCGATAACACACTCGTTTGTACAACTTAACCTAGCAACATACACGTTCCTGATAGAGTTTAAACAATTTTCTAACGGTTTACTAACATTGTAATTAAACAATGTCATTTCAAAGTTACAATTCAAATATAGCGTTTAAGAGTCACGGGGAAAAAAAAAAAGGCCGATGTACTTCATTTACACACAACTAACAATAACCAGAACCAACACTTCTTAAATTTACATTAGAACAAAATGCTTTAGGAGTTTTTAACTGTTTATTTGTTTTTGAATTTCGCACAAAGCTACACGAGGGCTATCTGCGCTAGCCGTCCCTAATTTAGCAGTGTAAGACTAGAGGGAAGGTAGCTAGTCATCACCACCCACCACCAACTCTTGTGCTACTCTTTTACCAACGAATAGTGGGATTGACCGTCACATT